TTTTAATATAACTTTGATAATTATGATAATTTAATTTTACCTTGAATAATTTGTCTATTTGAAATTATTTCAATTACTTCAACTTCACTAGTTTCAATATATTAGTATTTATCTTAAACATCACACTAAGATAAAATATGTTGCATCTATCGTGATATTCGACACAGTGCACGACACATGAAAGTACGACACGAGGTGCTCTTTGCGACACATTTTATCCAGCAAGAGCACGACACATTTTGTGCGACACATTCTGAAAGCGTGGTTCGAAACTATCATCCGGTACATTTTCCATTTAATTATTCCGATTATGAAAACTCAAGCAAGTCAGATCTTGAAACTTGCCTAGCCTTGAGTTGGCTCGATCTCCATCAGACTACTTCAGAACACTCCTCTCTCGATCGTCGATCGAGATCGGCATGTTCTCGACTAATAAATAACCGAGAAATAGTCTAGAAAAAAAATTATTTTAAAAATGTACATTTCTGATGTTCAATTGTGTTGTTTATATATAACTGTGTGTGCATAACAGAGTGGCGAATGAATAGCCAGCAGACAGAACGTGACACATTTTAGTATGATGTTTAAAACAAACCTTCAACATCATTTGTTGCCGATGTTTGACGACTGTTGTTAAAGGACGATGAAGCTTTTCATCCATAAAGTTGCATATCTAGATGGACAATATAAATTTAAAAAATAAGACTAATACTTTGTCCAACATAGGACAGAGAATTTTTCATTGTCTTCAATAGAAATCATGCGTGTAGAGCAAAGTAATTATGCTAGTTTATGATTTTATTGAAATATATAACTGGAGATTCGTTTTCATTTTCGATGAATAGTTTATCACAGTAACTTTGAATCACTCTTCACCTCTCTTTCTTTTCTTTCAAACAAATGTTTACATTGTTGGCTAATCTCAATGGCTAACTGCCTTATTCAGTATATCGTGTAGGTGGACTTTGTTTACACCTATAATCTAACCAAAACACCTCAAATTTAACATCAAAAGAATTGAGACCTCATGGCCTTCCATTTAATACATAATTCAATTAGAATGGATGATGAAAGTCGAAAGCGACTAAAATATATTCTTATGCGTCTCCCGCCCTTTGAAAAGAACTACAACAGATAAACATTGACAAGTTTTCTTTATTTTCGCGTAAGAAGAAAGTAATCGGAATAAAATTGCTAACTAATCTCTAAGCTTTCATTAAGGCTTGAGCCAAAGATGTCCATCACGGCTGAAAATCTGTCGCGTCACAATGGTGTTCGAGAAACTCTTCGAAAGCCTCCTCCATCACTGTGCTAAATTAGCATAGTTAGATTGAATCTATCAGATTCACCACGTTTCTGACTGCTAGATTTCTAGACACTCAAATCGGATGCAATTCTATGCAATTTTACAATCATCTTAAAAAAGAAGCTGCCACACCGCTGAAAACACCATGGTGGTGACGCAGCAGCTGCTCCATGAATAACTCTGGTTTAAAAATTGATTAAAGGTATGGACTAAAATTTGTTTCAATATATAACACTGTCACCTGAAACACTACTGCTGCTTTTTCAATTATATAAATGGAAATTAACGTAAAAGTTTCCATGGAATAATAGATGTCACTATGTTCCAATGAACAACTCAAATGATATTTGCTCATTGTCCTCCATCATAAATCCAAGTCTATTTTCTTTTCTTAAACACTTTATACTAAAAAATAGATATAAAAATCATTGAAATTCGTTTTGAAACAAAGTCGATGATCAAATTCATATATCCTTCATTTGTTGTAAATACTCACCAATAGACTTCCTCAAATTTTACTGCTATCTTATTTTTATTTCTATCATTACATTCAAGTTATTTTTTTTTTGTTTATGTATTTATTACATTTCTAATTCTTTTTTTTTCTTGTATCTATAATTTTCAAAGTTAATTTTCTAATATATTTTTACAATTTTAGATCATTCACGAGATCATAAAAATATGGCTACAACAGCTAACATCTCGAAAAAACGCAAAGTGAATTTGTCATCAATTTAATTATTTTCATAATGAAAACTTTGTTTTTTATTTCTTCAAATGATTTTAGTTTATTCGTGAAGGTGTTTTTCATGCTGAACTTAATGAATTTTTCACACGTGAATTAGCCGAAGATGGTTATTCAGGTCTTGAAATTCGTGTAACACCACAACGCACAGAAATTATTATCATGGCAACTAAAACACAACAAGTACTTGGTGAAAAAGGTCGTCGTATTCGAGAATTAACATCAGTTATTCAAAAACGTTTTGGTTATGCAGAAAATTCGATTGAATTATTTGCCCAAAAAGTTGTTACACGTGGTTTATGTGCTATAGCCCAAGCCGAATCATTACGTTACAAACTTATGGGTGGTCTTCCAGTACGACGGTAAGTTTCACAAAAGAAGAAAAATTTTAACATAAATATAATCATCTTGTTTTATTGTTTTTTATAGAGCATGTTATGGTGTCTTACGTTTTATAATGGAATCAGGTGCTCAAGGTTGTGAAATTGTTGTTTCGGGTAAATTACGTGGTCAACGTGCTAAAGCTATGAAATTTATTGATGGTTTAATGATTCATTCGGGTAATCCTGTTAATGATTATGTACAATTTGCTGTACGACATGTTTTATTACGACAAGGTGTACTTGGTATTAAGGTTAAAATCATGTTACCACATGATCCAAAAGAAGGCAAAGGTGTTAAAAAACCATTACCAGATCATATTCAAATTGTTCAACCAAAAGACGAAACACCTATTACACAACCATATTCTGAACCAAAAGATAGAAAAATAGAACCAGTAAAAGAAAACGTTTTATTTTTTATAAAATGAATAGTTTTGAACATTAAATTGTTTTTTTTTGTAATTTTAGTTACCTCAACAACTGGTTCATCCACAACAATTACAACAACAGCAACAACAACAACAACAACAACAATTACCACCTCAACAACAAGCACAATTACAGCCAGGAGCACCAGGCAATCTTGTTTATCAATAAGAAAACAAAAACCGAATGGTCACACACACACAAAAAAAAAAGAAGCTATATTTAGTACCATCCTTATTTTTGATTGTTTGTTCTTGCTTTTAGGCTTTATAGCCATTTTAAGCAGCGAATAAAGAAAAAGATAAAAAATTTGTTAAGATTAATTTAAAGTCTATGATTAATTGAAAGCAAAAACATTTATTTAATTTTTGAATATTCAACATAGAATTTTTTTTCGGTCATGGCAGTTTATTCATGGTAGTTTTCCATCAACTTCGATTAGTAGAGTAATATCTTTCAGATGCACTGCAATTAGTAATAATATATCAAACAGAAGTTTAATTTGAAAAACAATATTTATTAAGTATACTTATATTTATATTTCTTCAAATAGATGAGAAGATTTAGAGAAGGACTAGTGTATTCGATATAATTAGCATACGTAGTTTCCCTTAAACGACGACTACAAGGCCTTGCCTACACTAGAACATATCATACCGAATTAAGAACCTTGATTGATCGAAAAGTTAATTCTGATTTAATGCACTTTTCAGAGGCAAATTAAATTTAATGCACCAATTGAGAAAGACTGCAATCCACTAAGCAAAATGATGCACGAACCTCGATGAAGTCTCTTTATATTATCGATAGATAGATGTTTTCAGTACGATGAACTGTAAGGATTAATGAGAAAAATAACCGACATTGTTTTCTTCATCAACAAGTGCTAGAATTATGCATTTCGATGACATTATAGTGGTCGTTTCTCAGTTTTGATTGATGCATTAAATTCATAAATGTAGACAAGATCATACTGTCAAAGGGGTTAAAAGACGTTTCTTTCTTTCAATTAATACTAGATGGACTTCTCATCAGTAACATCTATATCTATTTTGGATCTATGAATAAATTCAAAAGATTTTCATATAATATACTTCAGAACTAAAAAAAGAACGTTTTTATAATGTATTTATTAGGGACAATTCTCATTTTATTAATAAACCATCAAGAAAGAGGTTGTTTCTGCAGAAACGGATATATGTTAATAAATGGCTACATGCTACTCATAACTTGAGATGTTATTGCACCTTGTTGTAATATAGAAATTTGAACAAGATAACAATATCATTTATAAAAAATAAATATTCAAAACTAATAGATGAAAAAAAAAGGTAAAAATCTGGGACAGCTTTGACACAAGCCTTCATTCTGTATATGACAAACCACCACTATGGCGAAAATTAAAAAGGGCTGCACAAACAAAACCTTTTCAGTCTAAAAATCAAATTTAGAGAAATTGCTCCTTAATCAGAAAGTATATCATTCGATTGTAAATTAAATTTAGAATTTTTTAATATTTAAATGATAGTATAGAAATCATCAGTCCGAAATTATAGATCAAGTGCATACATAACGTTACAATCTGACAACAAAAGTATGACTCATTCGAGGGGCTGACAGCTTACCATTTACGAGTTTGATAACAAATAGGGTTGCACGTTTGATAACAAATAGGGTTGCACGTTTGATAAAATCAACTCACTTTCACAAAAGATTCTTCGGTGAAGCGTGACAGAAAAAAACGTTCTCAGTATCATTCAACGAGGTGAATATAAAAATGTCAGCAACGGTTGTTCTTGTTGGTACGTTCGATACGAAAGGTGTTGAATATGAATTTGTTCGAAAACAAATTGATGATATTGGCACATGTTCCGTATTTCTTATTGATATTGGTCTTCAATCAAATAGTAAAACATTACCAGTCGCCGATATTTCATCAATATCAATTATTAAAGCTGCTGGAGGTGATTATAAAGCATTAGAAGAACATAAAATAGAAAAAACTGAAGCATTTAATTTAATGACAAAAGGTCTTACATTAAAGTTAAATGAACTTTATCAATCAAATCGTTTACATGGTCTTCTTGCATTGGGTGGTTCATGTGGTACAGCAATTGTATCTGAAGCTATACAACAATCAAAAATATTACCTATTGGTTTACCTAAATTAATTGTATCAACTGTAGCTGCTTCAAGTAATGCTCATACAGCTGTTGGTTTAAGTGATGTTACTTTAATGCATTCTGTTACTGATATTAGTGGTGGAGTTAATCGTATTAATGAACCTATTTTAGCTAATGCAGCTGTTGCTATTGCTGCCATGGCTTCACGTTATTATTCATCCATGACTCAATCGAAAGAAGTAACATTTGATGATACACCTTTAATTGCTCTTACAATGTTTGGTGTTACAACACCATGTGTAATGGAAGCCAAAAAACAACTAGAAGAACTCGGCTATAATACAGTAATTTTTCATGCTACAGGTATAGGTGGTGAAGCTATGGAATATTTAATTGAATCTGGTTTGATTAATGGTGTACTTGATATTACGACAACAGAATTAGCTGATGAACTTGTAGGTGGTATACTTTCGGCAGGTCCAGAACGATTAGAAATTGCTGGACGAAAAGGTTTACCTCAAGTCATTTCACTTGGAGCACTTGATATGGTTAATTTCGGTCCTCGTCATACAGTACCAAAACAATTTACTGAGAATCGTTTGTTGTATGAACATAATGCTCAAGTAACATTAATGAGAACAACAAGTGATGAATGTACTCAACTAGGCAAGATTATTGCTCAGAAACTCAATCAAAATCGTGGATCAAATCGAGTATGTGTATTTATTCCACATGGTGGATTTTCATTAATATCAGGCATGTATCTTTGAATTTCACTGTACAATTTTTGTTTTTTTATTAATTATTGTTTAGTTGATGGTAGTCCATTTTGTGATAAACAAGCAGATACATGTCTTATTGAAGCATTACGTAAACATGCGGATACAACAAAAGTTGAAATTATTGAACGAAATGAAGCAATCAATGATGCATCATTTGCACATGCTATGGTTCAGGCATTACATGCTCAAATACAATACAAACCAGTTCCTAAACTTCATACTGATATAGTTCAGAAACAAATGACAAAACCACGAAATCGTCGTGAATGTCTAGATCGATTGAAATCTGTTATAGAAGAAGGTCGAATTATAATTGGTTCAGGTGCAGGAATTGGTTTGTCTGCAAAATGTATTGAAGAAGGTGGTGCCGATTTACTTATAATTTATAATTCAGGAAGATTTCGTATGGCTGGTAGAGGTTCATGCGCTGGTCTTCTCTCATATAGTGATGCTAATGCTATTGTTCTTGAAATGGCCGGTGAAGTATTACCTATTGTAAAACATACACCGGTTCTTGCTGGTGTTTGTGGTACTGATCCATTTCGATTGATGCCTCAATTTTTGAAACAAATTAAAGAAGTTGGCTTTATTGGTATACAAAATTTTCCAACTGTTGGTCTCATTGATGGTCGTTTTCGACAAAGTCTTGAAGAAACTGGCATGGCTTATGAACAAGAAGTTGAAATGATTCGACAAGCTCATTTAATTGGTTTAGTTACTGCACCATATGTATTCAACGAAGAGGAAGCTCGAAAAATGACAGAAGCTGGAGCAGATATTATTGTTGCACATATGGGTGTTACCACTAAAGGTGCTATTGGAGCAAAATCTTCATTAACATTAGATGAATGTGTTCAACTTATTCAAGCTATTCATGATGTTTGTATTAAAATTAATCCTCAAGTAATTGTTCTTTGTCATGGTGGTCCATTAGCTGAACCAGATGATGTACAGTATATTCTTGCACGAACACATGGTATTAAAGGTTTCTTTGGAGCATCGAGCATGGAACGATTACCAACAGAAATTGCACTTGTTGAAAATACAAAACGGTTTAAACAATTAAAACTTACAAACAAGGACTAAAGCTATATTTTCACATACTCATTTTCGTTGATTTAGATAGTAAAGAATTACATGTAGTGATATATTATAAACTTATATTTTGAAGCTATTATTATTTGAAAAACTACTAGTAATAGAAAAAAGATTTTTTTCTTAATATGATTATGTGATTTAAGATGGTTATTTTTTGAGAAAAAATAAAATAATATGGATTTCTATTATCTTTATATTGCAAATTTTTCAATAAATAAAAATTGAAAAAAACACTCTTTAATACTTCTTATCTTTTGGCCCTTTCAACATACATAATTCCAATTCGATCATGTTATGCTATACCAAATTGAGTAAGTTTCTAGTTTTTACGTGTGGTGCCTTTTTACAAAATTTCCTTATACGTTAACCTTTCATCATTTCTTGTATATATATATATATTTCAAGATTCTGAAAACACTATAGTAGATAAAAATAACAGATAAAAAACGAACTGTTCACCCATAATCACGATCTTTTCAGAAACTCTAAATACACATCAGATTGTTACTTGTTAGTTTGTAACTGTCTAAGGAACGCAAAGTACAAGAACAATGCAATCTTTAGGAATATTGGTGGTAAACAATAATAGGAATATGACACATATCAGTTATGAGATTGGATTCTGTTAAGGAAGAGCAGTGTTTTTTGAGTTTACAAGATAATGATTCTGTTCCTGTATGAATTAATTCATCTGGTAAACTAAAAATAAAATAAATATTAAAATACAATTGATAAATAAAAAATGAACCAATTGGAATAAAATAATTAATTAAACAAAATAAAGGAAAATGAATGTTGATGTTTCTGCCAGTATTAGTCTTCTTCAGAACTTTATTGTCACACACACACACACACATTTTATATTTATTTTGGCTATAGTTTTAATCTTCTCTTTGATGATAGTGATATTGATAAGGCGAAACAGTGATATTAGCCGAACATCTAGATTTCCTCATTTAGATCACTATTATAGAAGAAAAGAATTTATAATTATAACCAAAATTAAAGAAATTAATCATAAGATAGTTTATTGTTCTTACCTTGAATAAATACACGTTTCCAACTATCTGCAATATAGATAGATATGAGCAAGGATGCGAGGGTGAGGATGAATGTATGTATAATTGAATGTTTTCTTCAATCATTCGCACATACTCCCTATATCTTCTTACCTACAACAGTGGTAAATTGTAACAGATCCTTATATATGCCATTAGAGTTTGGTAGATTTTCTTAACTAAGATTTTGTAAATCTTGATATATCCTACAAATGAAACTTTTACCTAAAATATTGAAGTTTTTCAAATATTTCGTACTATAAACATTGATAATAAATATGATGAAGAAGCGATTCTACATGAGTTCTTTCTTTTTGAGCTAGTTAAACTATGTGATTGTTGCACTGAATTATCCGAAGAACGTAGACTTCATTAAAATTTCTAATACATTTTTAATTGTTTTATTGCATAGAATTATTGATCATAAATAAATTTTATTTTCAATCAATACCAGTTACATATTATTATGTGTTATTCTTCTTATTCATTTAAATCAGTCAAGCAAATATGAAGTTTCACTAGCAAAGGCTGATCATAAGAATGATCAAGTCTTTCATGCTATTCTAACACTTTGAAAGTACTTTTTTTTTATAGAAAAAGAGATAAAATTTGATTGTTAATAGTTCATGATAATGTAAAAACTAACTGATCACAGATGACTCAAATGAGAAATTATTTAAAGATATATCCAAATTTATTTTGTAATCTCAAAGTAAAATAAAACAAAAGCAATCTGCTGTAGCATCGTTAAAAACTTTACCCTATAGTCAATTTTGAAATTACAAATTTACTTAACATTCCTACCAATGACATTCAACATAGTTCAACAACAGAGCTATCAACATCACGTCTATGATTTATAACAAATGAATACCTACGTGTTTTATTGTGTTGACTTTAGTCAATTTTGTGTAGCCGAAAAATACTGAGAAAAAAATCGATAAAGAGAATCTCCTATCAAATAATAATGATAATATGTGTGACAATAAATCGTTTTGCTTTGTCAAATTATAATTTATTTGTTTAGTTTCATTACCAAAGAATGAAGTTTTTGTTGATTAATAAACAAGAACGTTACTGAAAAGCATATCTTTTGGTATTAATTACATGAGAAATAAATGACTTGTGTATCTCATTTGCTCATGATGATGTCTTTCATAAAGTTCAAATTTCGTAGCTGAAATATAAAAAGTATACAGAAGAATCGAAAAAAAAACAAACATTGGAAGCATGTTTTAAAATTATGAAATAAAAATTGTTCAATATATCTTATTTTTATAAGAATAGATTCATAAGTACAAAAGCTAAATAAGAAACAGGATTTATTAAATATTTTACGAGAGACTGCCTATTATCTTTTTACTTTCTCAAATTCGAATAAAAGTTAAATATTTACTATGCAATACATATTATGAGAGGTAGAATGTGTCACTCAAGAAAGACTCTTATGTAATTAAGAAGGAAAAAAAACCGTTACCAGTCATTGATAGTTCCACTTTTTTATTGATTATAAGAAATTTTAGAAAAAATTTCATTTGGTAAACACTCTTTCGCTCATTCCGAGATATGTTCGTTGTTGAAGAATGTCAAAAACATTTTTCTCATGAAATCGTTTCCATAATTTAAAGTGCACATGTTAACTTCAATCTTTCAATAGATTCATATTGATATGGTCTCTTTTTGAGTTCATCTCCTTTTGTACAGAAGGTAAAAATTAAGATTTACTTTTTCCCGAGATTTCTTGAACTCTTTCTTAACTTATACAAACGAGAATCTACACAATATTAAACCGAAAAAACAACTCCAACAAGATTTGCTAGTTGGTGGAAGCGATACAATGCAAATGAGATTTTCCATGTAGTGCTCAATAAAAAAAAAGTGTTGTAAATATACTTCAAGAGACTGCAGTTATACTGTCACAGATCAGAATTATCCATGAAAATCGTCCTCTTAAGATAGTGTTTATTAATAACTGTTTATTACGTTAAATACTACAGTGTTTAATAGAAATTTGAACAAATATTTCATTGTATACCGAACATCAATCAAATATTGAAAAACTATGCTAATCGTATGACATAATACTTTTTTGAGAAAAAAAAGCAACGTGCAATAGATGCTGTTTCATTCCCTTGGAAAAGATTAATTTGTGATGTATCAGACGCAAATATCATCTGTTCAGATAAATTAAATTTAGCACCAGTATATGTTGACTGTTTGTTTTTGTTTGAAAAATGTTTTTCAATCGATCAGGACGATGTAACCCATCAAAAAAATCTTAATAGCTTCTGATTTATAGTAATGCGACAATATCGTTTCGTGAATAAATAATTAATGCATATTCGGTTGAATTATTTTATTGAATAATCAATCTTTATTTAAATTAAATGGAATCGAATATAAAAATTTGATATAAAAAAAAAGGACTTATATTTAATTGAGCAATAGAATAATTGAAATGAACAATAATGAAATTTAGCAATAAATTTACTGAATCAGCAATAATTATATTGGATGAGGAATAATTATATTGAATGAGCAATAATTATATTGAATAAGGGATAACTATATTGAATGAGCAATAAATATACTGAATCAGCAATAATTTACTTAAATTAAAGGTAAATTTTATATAAAAAGGCGCACTATGGATTCATTTTGTTATGCTACATTCCAAAGATGTGCTATAAGACAGAATTGTGTTATACTATACATTATATTTTCGGTCTCTTTCTTTCTCTACATATGTATCTACACCATTCATGCTCGTTCTCTTTTATCAGGTTAGCTCTATTGGTTTTTCTGAATCCGACCAAAGAAATCATTCTATCATCTCGAATATTGAATGGTTATTTGAATACAAATTTTGTAGATTAATATTTACTCTTTCAGACTATGCGATTAGAACTGTACAGCTACCATTCAAAGCCAAAGGTTTTTAAACAAAAAACATCCGAGTCCATACATTCGGGTCTGATAGAGTCCAAGTATGAACTCCAACCTTTCTATTTAAAATCCTTCCACTTTGAATGTCTTTTGTACAGTTATAATCACATTGTATGAAAGTGGAAACATTGCTTCACAGAGGTGTATTCGAACAACAATTTTATATTCGAAAAAAATAGAATGGACCAAAATCCTCTGGTCGAGTTCAGAAAACCTGGCGCAGCTTCCTACTGTCAGATACATTCCCATATTGCTTTCTCTTCGATTGTTCATTTCTTTCTTTCAAGTGATCATTCAGATATATTCTATTCGTATCATATCTATTTCTGGTATATTCTGTCATCTCAGATACAGGTCTACATGTGTGTGATAACAGGGAGAATCTTATTTTTCTAAAATAGACATCATATACACAAAATCATATTACGGATTTAACATATTTATTTATAGAAATACGTAAGAAACAGAAGCAGACCACCCAGGCAAAAAAGGCTTTATTGACCCAATAATATACTATATTTTTGATTTCTTCTTTCTTTATTTTCGATTGTAACTAAAAGTAATGCAATTTTTCTTTTATTTCTAAAATATGAAATTATTACTGCTATTTAATGAATTAATTATTGTTCATTTAATAATATGAAACTGCTCAATAAAGGTTTTTGTATTGCTCACAAATTATTGCTAAAACGTATGTTAATTATTGCTGATTCCAATATTTTTATTGCTCAAATAAATACTAGCCAAAAGAAAGCTTTTTTTGTGAAATTTTGTTAATGGAATTTGATTAATTAGCATCTCTTTTTTTATCCAGTTTATATTGATGAAAATTTGGATATTGTCTTGGATTTCCTTTAGTAATATTCATTGTTCTTTCTTTTAAATTCATAATTAATGAACAAACTGTTCCAGCAGAACCGAAAACTGTTGGTTGAAATAATCTACAGATTGGATATGTTTGTTTATCATCATAATCCAATAAAA